ATACACCAATACACGAACATCACAAAGAAAACTATAACTTGGCATTTAGTTGCCACAGCTCGCAAACCCAAATATGATCTTGCCAACCCCAAATGAGGTCACAATTCATGGTCTGGGAAACCCTGCTCTTTGGGCATACTCTCATCTAAATGCATGGTGCTTCTGGAGGAGATGTGGCACTTGATAATAGGTATGAGTGTTTGCCTGTCTCTTCTATCCGTCAATATCAATAGTATTCTCGACAATCTATGAAGGCATCACATCATATTTAACCCTTTCACAGTCTAGCTTTTCTGATACCTACCTGGATAACAACTCACATTTCAGAACACAATCGTGAAAGGGTTAACAACCACAGTCCTACAGCCTGGTTCCAAAAATGTTGATGAGTAGGTGAATACTTGGATGCAGTAAACATCTGTTCTATGGTGTCATTCCTCCAACCACTAAGGAGAACATAAGAGCCCTGCAGCTTCATTTGGGATTTTCTTCAAACCTGTAAACGAGACACACTGGATGGAGCTATCAATCCAGCTCTCATCAACCTTAATCATCTTGCCAGACCTGCCAATGGAAGTTGGGAAAGCAAATACACTGATAAGGACCTCTCTATATGGCATCCTTCCAATCAACAATAGTTTCATTGCATGAAAGAGAGGTTAAATTTAGTGCTTTCTTTTATTTGGACAGCTACTCAACAATAGTACCATCTTACTTTTGGTGTAAGGGGGTAAGGACGGAGTAGGAGATAAAGGATGTAACTACATGGGGAAGATCCTTGAGTATTTTGTAAACTTATGGTACATCCCTTCTTTAACATCCTAAAGTGTGTACCTCATCAGGGTCAACTAGAAGTCCATCTCATTCACCATTATCAGTCAGTACTGAGGTAGAAATGGGAAACCAATTCATAACCAGATGCAAGAGTAAATGGTGATAATTGATAGTGTTAAGGTCTCTTAGAAGTCTACGAGTTACGTTACCTGTTACTTCGGAAACTTCTTCAGAGAACTCTCTATTTTAGTTTTAGACTGGGTCTTTCCTAGAAGAACTGAGTTTTAAACCGATGACCTAGTGGCAGATACTTTTAACATCTTTTAATTTGCTTCCAGTTAAACAATTTTTTCAGTTTACATTAATTTTTATCACAAACTTGGAAGATAGCTTTGGAGAGAGATGTAATACAATACCAAACCAGGTTCATAACATAACTTCAGGTACAAGCAAACATGACATGAGGTATAAAAATGAGAAACGAATATGCAGCCAAAAGCACAAGTGCACACACCCATGACAAAGTTCAGCATGCAGTCATGGTCTGCACACTGATTCCAACTAAGGACAACGACTACTGGACCTTTACTTAAACTCCTAACTTCACACTAAATTACTCTTATTGAAAAATAACATAATTCCACTGGTCTCTCACCATTGTGAACATGATCATCTACAAAAGAATGATGAGACTGTATTTAGAGGAAGAAATCATTTTTATGACATCATGCCACAGTTGCCAATTAACCTAGTCATATGATTTGGGACTCCAGTAGAAAGGACACAGAAAACCGTATGTTAGTCAAGGTCTAGCCTATGATGTGGCCCACAAATATGTTTGATTCATTCGCTAAGCTTGATATACACATGGCATTGGGTGAAAAGTCAGGCCTGTGTTAAGACCTATTCAAGGAGCTGAGGAAAATGAAAACTTTGGTCAAAAGAGCTATCGGGCATGGATCAGTTCAGCTGATCGATTTATTCATTGGATCGGACCAGTATCTTATGAAAACGCGCCACCGCCCACGTGGCGCGCTTCAGGACCGGCACGTTGTGACGTCATCGTGATGTATGGGGCGTGGTCTGCTCGGCAACAGGAGGAAATCTCATAGTTTTCCTAAAAACGAGTCGAAACGCTGAATGGAGTAAACACTGATGCTTTGTCCTATTTTCGAGTCAGAATTTCCAGCCTTCACCAGGAATTAAAAATCCTCATATAGACACATGTCAACCGAGAGAATCCATCCTCCTTTCCATGAAAAACCATGTGTATCGACATTCATGAAAATACCGATTTTGAAGGGAAATATAAACAATTTAAGTGCAGACAAGAGAAGTTTAGGTCTGATCATTCCAGAAAAAAACCTTGCCAGTAGGTCGATGGCGATTCCTTTGCCCCATTATGCCTATAGTCGCGAATGAACGCAGACGAGACGAAATTTATTTGATTCGATTCGCTACCAGAAGCTAACAGCTCAGGATCTTCACAGGCTCATCTATATAACAGCCGTATAGCCTCTAACCATGGAAGACTCAATTGTTTCTTCGGTGATGCGAGTTCGGCCTTCATTACTGGAGTCCGTTAATATCTCGCCTCTCGCTTAGAGTCTCCCTTTCCCTACCTTTTGGAAATGATTGCATGATTAACACATCAAACAAATGGTCTCAAATCTGGGTCCTCTGTCTTGGGAATGAAGGGGTGGACTGCATAAAACTGACTTAATGCCAGTATTAAACCTCCATTAGATTTAAAGCTACTTCAGCGGAGATTTTTAATTTACCTAGGTAGATTGCATGAATAACGCCGCATTAAATTCCTCGTTAGTTTAATGCTACGATGACCCTACCTTAAACGTTAGCACCGAAAAGGAACATACTGCTGACTCGACACACTTCCTTACTGCTTCATGAATGTCCACATACAATGTGCTCTATTTTTTAAATATTTTTTCCTGAATATTTCCGTGGCTATTAAAAAAAAAGAATAAACAAAGTGAACGAGAAACGAATCAGTGGCTGGTCGCCTGAACTCTGCTGAAGCACTTGACGCTCAGATTCATGAGAAGGATCTGCAGCCAATAGCCTTTCAGTTTTTCCAAAATGCATTTTAGGGCTCAAGAAATCATGAACGTCAAATGACGTTGGTGCGACGTTCATGCAACTTTCGCGACGATGCGACCAGAATGCAACGTCGGGTATCTTCTATTTTTGGCATACTAAGCACCAAAAAAAAGGCCAAATCTGGAAAATTCGCAAAAAGTATAAGTAAAATATTTCAAATATATAACTTAAATGCCTTAGATGTCAAACCCTGACTTCTAAGTTTCCAAATGCATGCTAACTCAAGAGATTAAGTTTGCGCGATCCTTTTCTAGATGCAGATCACAATGGAACTGCTGAAGAAGAAGCAGTATTTACCCCAATAGCACAAGTTTGTCTTGAAGACGTCTTAATATTTGTCTTCATGAAGAAATTAGACATCTCAAAGTCATCTTGACAAGCCGTCTTGAATGCCTGCAAATGTCCCCTTCCGAAGATGTCTTCATTTGTTACTTTGAAAGCATATCAGAGATGTATTGAAGATAACTCATTTTTTTCCCTGTGCATCCAGTGTAGGCCTTTATATACCAACATCCCTTACTTTCTTCTGACCTAAAAAGCAGGTGCTTTCTCGATGGACACAGGATTAAGGTGATCATGACAATCTTGAATGAATGAACCATGAAAGAGGTGCAATGACTTTTATTTCCTCCCCAAAAATCTGCAATTCAAATTCTGAATTATTTTATTTTGGAAACTGCAACCATTAACAAACTGGAAGGATGATCACTGGTGACTTCTGGGTTAAACTTATCAGAGGCGAAATACACATGCATATTGTCAATTTCAATCCCATAGGAGGGTACAGAAACATTTGGGAAATGCCAGATTCATAGCTCAGATGTTCATCTAGGTTTCGGCTTCATCTTCATTTCCATCATCTTCATCTTGGAAAGCAAAACTTGTCTTCTTAGCTTGCTCTCTGCAACATGGAAAGAGATGACTCTGATTTTGAATCCACTCCACAGGAATGAATAGATCAGATCACCTTCCTCACTTAAGAGAATGATTCCCACATGACTTCTACTCAAAAAAGAACAAGATTTGTTCACCAAAACATTAAAACTTTGTCCACTTTGCAGGTGCATTCCTTAGCCAAGTTTTGATGTCTCCCTGAACTTTGTGTTCTGCTGCATCTTTGAAAGCTTGCATGACTGCTTCTGAAAAAACATCAGCAGTTGGAAGTTATAGTTCACAATCCCTTGTTGAAAGAAAATGAAAAGCCATATTTCAGATGACAGAGGAGAGGAAACTCAAGAAAAAGTAAAAACAATGAATGCATGTCCTACATGTCAGACCAATCAAAGGTATAATTTTTACTCCTTTTAAGGAGTGCTAGTCATTCCAAATTTATTTAGGAGAGTTACAGGAGATAACATACCAACAACCACATGGCACATCTTCACTTTTTTAAATGCAATCTTTGTTCTGGCTCTTGTGAAGCACCTTTGCATCAACTGTCATGTCATTTCATGCAAATTCGAGCCACCCAAGCTAGCAAGGTCATTGACCTGAGATGAGACAGGGCACATATCATCACATGGTTATTGAAAAATGCCCACTTAAGGTAAATAATTCATTATTATGTGCAGTAGGATAGTATATACTACAGGGTGAGTCAAAAGTCTGAACACATAGGGAACTGAGCTCAATATAACATATCATCACATGGTTATTGAAAAATGCCCACTTAAGGTAAATAATTCATTATTATGTGCAGTAGGATAGTATATACTACAGGGTGAGTCAAAAGTCTGAACACATAGGGAACTGAGCTCAATATGTGTTTATTGCATGAAATGTTACAATATGTGTTCTACAGTGCAGTGAACCATCACAATCACCACTATTGGAGTGATACCAACTCGCACTGGAGAACGATGGACAACTTATAGAACACATATTGTAATATTTCGTGCAATAAACACATATTGAGCTCAGCTTCTTATTTGTCCAGACTTTTGACTCACCTTGTATAATTTACTCATTATTAAAAACTTTTCCTTTCCAGGTCTTTGGTAATGCAATTGTGCACTATACATTTTCGTTTTTCAGACTAATGCAAGGAACTTTCAGATATTTCAGAAAGGAAACAAAATTCAAGAGACCACCTGGTAATAACCTACCAAGGCATTAACATTGGCAGGGTGACTTAAAAAGTCTTCCATTATTTCCAGTGAGCTGAGAGTATCCAAAGGGAACTGAACAGGCAATTGAAGCTCATTGCAAGGTGGTATCATCTTCTTCACACTCAGTTGTACATCAGCTAGTGTTGTCCCTTGAACAGCAACTTTTTTATTGATATCTTGGACAACATATAGAAGTTTCTTCAGGAGGCCTAAGAGTGATAAAGAAAAGCAAAATCCTAAGATAGAAAATTTTAGAACTTCCATATCAATCACATAAGTTGTTCTCATATGGGGAGCCAAGTCAGGATAAAAATGTCTTATTCATTTTACCAGTTAATGAGGGCATATGGAAGAGGTGTCATACCATTATATATTGTGGTTAAGGCACCTTAAACTCTCTAGATAAATAGAAAAGCTTAATCAGCACAAGTCTCTTTATACCCTTCCAGGTTCATTCTAGCAATGCAACAAAGACACTTCATCCAATAAATTGTAATATAGGTGGCATTAGTATACACACTCAGCACCATAATCTCTGCTATACCCTCACTAATGCCATCTCTCCCTTAAAATTTGTGATTGAACCATACACATGAAACCAAATATATTCTAAATCATTCATGGAAACAACTGTAACAATAAAAAAATGTCTCATTACTTCACCTGGAATATCTTGGGATTGCTCGATTGGTTCCATAGATGAGGAAGATGGCTGGGAGATATTTTGTTGCCTTGATCTTTCTGCACCACCACCATTATCAGCTGAAGCTCCAGGTGTAGAATAAAGCATCATGGAAGGAGATATATACCCTGAAGACACAAAAGTGAGAAAAGTAATATATATTGGTGATAAAACTAAACTTCTGACAAAACAGCTCATTTGAGAGCATCTAGCAAGAAAGTGTTGAATTCACCTGAAGAAACTTGCTTGGATGCATATTCTCCACTACATGGACTTCTTGATAAACCAGCTGCCTTCTCTCCTAGTATGAATAATGGTAATGAAATCCCTCAATTCCTTATTCAGAGTTGTCACACCCAATCAGGCATGCTTTGGAGTGAATAAAATACAAATTATTTCATGCAAGATCACTTGCCATACAAAGCATCACTAGAGGTGAGGACATGTTGGGATAAGATGCTTCCTCCACCAAACAGAGCATGTTCTTGACTGACTGGGTAAAATGCCTTCCTCAGAGGTTTTGGAGGTGATGGTTTTAAATTGTTATTGCTCCTAAACCAAAGGAGATATTGAAAATTTTCTTTAGCTGAATTGAAGCTTATTTTTTACCGTTTACTTTATAACAAAATTGAAAAGCTTTATTACAAAGTTAAAATTCAACGTAGGCTCCAGCATTGTCCACACACTTCTGTAACCTTACCAGTACATTTTTAAATGCTAATTTCTTTTTAAATTGCTATTGCTCCTAAACTGAAAGAGATATTGTAACCGTTCTTTCACTGTATTAAGCTTAATCATTACCATTTCTATTATAAGTGAATAATGGCTGCAAAATTAAGCATAGAAGAACGAGCAACTTAATTTAATAGGTTGTCGAGGGCCAATGGAATGGCCTGCTCAAAGTCCAGATTTAACGCTGTGCGACTTCTTTCTGTGGGGCTGGGCGAAAGAATTAGTTTAAAAATCAAAACCAAGGATCATTGATGAACTTGAAAACAAAATTCGTTATATTCTAGGCAATGCACCAGGTGACTTCTTGAGAAAATCTGTTGAAAATGTACCGGTAAGGTTACAGAAGTGTGTGGACAATGCTGGAGCCTACGTTGAATTTTAACTTTGAAAAACAAAATTCGTTATATTCTAGGCAATGCACCAGGTGACTTCTTGAGAAAATCTGTTGAAAATGTACTGGTAAGGTTACAGAAGTGTGTGGACAATGCTGGAGCCTACGTTGAATTTTAACTTTGCAATAAAGCTTTTCAATTTTGTTATAAAGTAAACGGTAAAAAATAAGCTTCAATTCAGTTAAAGAAATTTTTCAATATCTCCTTTGGGTTAGGAGCAATAATTTAAAAATAGGGAGTGACTTTTCAGACACCCTGTAGACCACTTATATGAAATAGTCCTGCATCACTTTCTAAACATGTTCTGGGTATGGAAAAACGACCCTCAACATTTAAGTTATAGCTCTACACTTTCTGGAGCCTTTGTTAGGAAGCATGGACTGTGCATATGTTGATATGTTTCAACACCCTTTTGAAATCTCATGCAATTTTTCAGTCTACTACTGTAAGGCTATGAACAATTATTGAAAGAAAATCAGAAATTAAAAATGGACAAGGGATCTGCCCTTGTAGATTCCACTCATGCACCTGCAGCACAAAGGCTCTTCCCATTATCCTACCATGAGCCCCTGTTAATTTTCAAGTTCAAATTTTTTTAAATTGTTCATAACCTGCTTTACCACAGTTAATTTCAATGAAGTTTAATCACTCTCATGCAAACTTATCAACCTGTGTGGGATGGAAGTTTTTTATTTATTAAAGTAGTAGCTTTTAAGATCAGAGATTACAAATTTGGTCAAAAGTCAGGGTTCTTTTTCTGTCACCCTGTATAGGTGTTTGTACACTTCTACAACTGGTGGTTTGGAACTTTTCCCACTACTGCTTGTTCTCTCAGATTTCAGGTATTACAGCATTGTCCAATCCTCTTGGATGGTGCACAATGGCAAACAAATACAATTTGAAGTGGAATTCTCATCATGCTGAGACTTTCAGCAACTTTGACTTGTTACGGAATAGGGAGGTGTTTGTGGATGTCACCCTCTCCTGTAGTGGACAGACATTGAAAGCTCATAAATTGGTATTGTGCTGTGGTAGTGCCCTTTTTGAAAAGTTATTACAGAGGGACAATAGCACAAGTCCCATCATCCATTTCCATGGTATAGACATGATGCACCTGAGACTTCTGGTGGATTTCATGTATTTGGGTGAAGTAGATATACCTTCTTGTGATTTGGAGGCCTTCATTGCTCTTGCTGATAGCCTTGAAGTGAAAGGCTTAAAGGGAGATCGATCTAGGCGGTCTGATGTACCGTCAACATATGGAAAATCAGAGTTACCAATGACATTTGGAAGACCTCGAGTAACTAGTCAAGATTACCTTGGGCGACCATTAGGATCAACTTCAGCTGCTCCAATGAAACGAAGGCTCCCAATGACCATGGACAGCTCAGGATTGCAAGATCTGTCTTCCGCTTCAGTCTTGCCAGGATCAGAAAAGAAGTCAAAGCCTGACTTGATTGTTCCCAATGACTCATGTCAGGTAGTAAATCTAATCAGTTTCAAATCAAAAAGATCTCATCAGGTTTCTGTCTTTGAATGCAAGTTTCTTTCATGCACTTCATTTTTCCTTTTCTTCATAAGGCATCTGACATGGTTCAAACTGGAGAATTGATGAAGACTGAGACTGAGGAAATCCAAGAAGTGGAACAGGTGGAAGTAAGGCTTCCATTTTCATCTTCTTCATCTTTCATCTTTTTTTCTTAGTAGCGTGAAAGACAAAAAATTTCAAAACATCTCTGCAAAGATTTTTTTATTTTCTTTGGTAAGGGAAAGAATGGTACTTGACAGCAATTTAGTGTGAAAATAGTAATAAACTTTCTACTTCCATCCAATATGCTACTTCTCATGCCTATGCATTCCTATGGAAGGCCAAACTAAATCTGAAACTTACGAAGCTCTATGTTTCATAAAGATAAAGCTGTTGTTGCATGCTGCATTTTGTTGTTGCATGAATGTGTTCATAAAACCAGGAATGAAAATGCTTCAGGATGGCAATGGATCCTATTATGCTGAGGAGGAAGGTATGGGAGGAGCTGAAGGTAGCAACTCCAGTAGTTCTCACATAATAGGAGGTGAGGAGTTTGATCCCAATGAACTCCCTGCTGATATTCCTCCTGAAATTGCACCAGAGGTGAGTTGCATGGCATAATTTTGCATTTTCTCTTCTCACTTGGTCAGGTGATTTATGTGATGATGATACACCTATTTTCCAAAAGCCAAATGATTTTATCCTAAGGGTTTCCAATATAAAAATACATCCATCCCTACTGCCACCTTATCTGAAATATATTTTGCAACTTGCAAGATTATACAACACAACATTTCTGTTTGTCTTCAGGTACTTAGATGCTATTTTCTATTCTTTACCTGAAAATCTGATCAGATATCCTGATAGGTAACTACATTGCTGCTAAAATCCATAGGGCATTTTGGGAACTAAATCATGAATAGTTGTATTTGGGAATGTGCCTGAAGAAATCTCCCCTAAGTTTGTGGGATACAATTTTTTATCAGGGTGTGATAAAGACAAAAAGTTCATTTTCTGAGTGTTTGGCAAAATTGTTCTGTGCAGATGTTATTTTTTTAAATAATTTTTTGCACTCCATTGATGGATTGTTAGCATCAAATCATAGCATTTCCATTCAGTCACTTTGAAAACTGAATGAGTTTTAGCATATGTTCTACAAAAGGAATGTGACCACACCCCATCAGAGTGATAAGTGTGATCACTATGCAAATGGTGCTGGAGCCATTTGATCCAAAAAAAAATCAAAGCGATTAGAGCTTATGTACAAGTCATTTTTTCATTTCAAGATTTTCATGCATTTTCTTTTGATATAATTTCCCTTGGTCACATTTTATCCTATTATAAGAGTTAAGCATGGATGCTGAGACCATGATAGAACTGATGGGGTAATAGTCACATTTTTGGCTTATAAACAACAGCTCCCTTGCTTACAGCATTTTCCTCTCATTCATTGCTGCATGCTCTTCCAATAGACTCATCATGGGAAGCAGAAAAGTACAGTTTAAATAAATGGAATAGACATTGGTTATGGAAACTGGCATGATTGATTTTGGGTTGTATACAAGTCTCTGAGATTTTTTGCCTTTGTATAGGCTTATATGCATATTCTCATGCCATCAACATATTCTCCTGCAATCACATTTACCACGACCTCCATTTAGCCTGAGGGAATATTATCATGAATGAGAAATAAGGGAATATCCCATTACTCTTTAAATTCCAGGAATAGGCATTGTTTTGTTTCTGAACTCCCATCCCTATCACTAGCCTTTCATTTCTTCCACTTCTTTTCTGTATTGACAGATTATTTGCAAGGCCTAATGGCAAAACTAACTCAAACTCACAGAAGTGTTGCACATTCCAAGACCATTTTGTTTGCTGCACTGTATGCATGGAAAGCTATGAATGTAATTCAGGTTTAGTCAAATTCCAATGTGCAGTGAGGATTAGCCAAAGATCATTGTGTCTATTTTTTAGAGGTTGTTATATAACATGTCAATGAGAGAAGATACTTCAACCAAGAATGAGTGCCTTTCACCTTCAGGAACAGAGTTGATTATTAGTTTCCATGTGAAGCCCAGCAGTCTTGAGTGAATGAAATGTGCAAACTGGGCAAAAGTGCCAAAAATGGGAGACCAATCACAATAGTGTCACAACATCTTCATATGTTATGGCATCATAATTTTTTGGAGGCTAATATTGTTAAGTGTGGTTCCAGGAAATATAGCAATTAAGAAATGGGTCATAACTCAGTACTGGCCATATGGGAGGTTTTCTTATGCAATTCCCCATATGTGCCTGTCAGAGTGTAACAAGAGGACATGATGGGGTCTGGTCTGGTATCAGCATGGAGACCAAGTGCAAGATCCACTTCTGTACATTCTGCAACTACCAATCCCCATACAAGACAAGCACACTGCGACATGTGCAGTCACGACACACCGGTGAAAGGCCATACGAGTGTGATCTGTGCGGTCGTAGGTTTATTCGAAGAGTGAGATTGAGGACTCACTTGTTCACCTGTCATTCTATCCATCTATAGATCATAGATGATCATGAGGGACACAAATGATCAATTTTGGTGCCTCTAGCTGATTATCATAATTCTTAGTCATGAAGATCCTCAATGGATGTTGTGTTTCCATTATTGTGATTAAAAGAACTTTATTTGAATCATTCAGATCAGTGATCACACAGTATCCCCAGAAAATGTTATATGCAGTCAAATATAAGATGAAAACATTGGAGGTATAGGAAAAAAAAAAAGAAGAGCAGATTGTGAATTTTTTTAACACAGTTATAAAGGTTATACCTGAAGGTTATGCAGGGCATATGCCTATGATCTGTTCATAGTACTGTCTTTGTTATATGGCCAAAAAACAATCAAAATGAGTTTTTTGTTCTCACACTTCTGGCAGAGAGACTGTGAGTGAATGACAGATGAGTCAGGCCATCTGCTTTGTGTAGTCAGTGGTTAACTTTGTGCAAAAATAATAAAAATATATAATAAATTTTAAAATAAAAAATCCTCTTGTATCCTTTTGTATACATGTTATTGCTACACAATTCTTTGGTATGGACCTCTGAAAACAGATTTGATTTAAAAGTGACTTCAATTTTCATTTTTTTGCTGGAACCTTTTTGTAAAGAATATTGGGATTTGGTCAGGTTCAGATTGTCAGTGAGTCACTAACTATTCTTACAGAGGACAAACTTGAAAGTTCATTTTGTGAGGTATCACCTGAATTGAACTTTTTTGTCATGACAATGGAAAATAAATGAGCCTTTCTTCATTCAAATGTTATTGCTTCACCTGTACCTTATCACTTATGGACAAATATGAAACACTAGAGACTGGAGCCTCACAAAGATCACTGGGAAGAGGAAGATTTTCATGCAGAATAGAAGTGTCAAGCTCCTGCCAGCAAGCAAAGCCTCTTTCCCCAAGTCCCAGGTTCCAATTGCAAAAAAAGATCATGGCCAGCACCAAGAAGACACTTGTGTGAAAGTCAACAAAATTCATAACTGGGATTTCAAAATGTTCTGGTGCAATACAGTTCCCATTGCCCTGTAGGAATATCTGCCTCTTGAAGAAGCAAGGATCACAGAAAAGCAGAGTTAAAAAACTGTATCAACATGATGTTCGTTGTGCTACTTATCCCAATTATGTATTTCCTGGTGACAACATGCAATATGAACTTCCCTTGGTGGCATGAAATATTATCCTTCTCGTGATCCTTCACTGGTTATATTGGCTTTAGATTGGCATTGGTATTCTATCTTGGCTCAATATTGGGGTTCAATATAGAAATGGGTCTTCAACCCAATGTTTCTTGGTGATTGGTAATGCCGCATGGAAAGTTTCAGATTAGTTTAATGCTCAATAATGTGTGCCCAAGATTGGACATATGTTAGATCATATGTATACATTAGAATATGAAACATACCGGTACTTTTTCACATTATGGTGTAAATGTGAAATTTTCAATGTCACGAGGAAGTGCTGTGTGGGTTATTCTTTAGATTATGTGAAAGTGCCATCCTTTCCCTGAAATTTATCCAGACTAGGAGAATACAGTCTGCACTCATATCTCAAATCTCATTGGGTCTTTTTGGAAGACACAACAGCACTGGCTTTTGGACATCTTTTATTTCTGCATTTCCTCTATAAGAAAGACGAATGAGATCCAGCCTACAAACCACTGTATCGTTTCAATGACATGTATTTTATTGTCAATGCCTGAAAATTTATTAAAATGCTGGATGACAGAGGGAAATATTTAAGGGGATTAGCCAGAATACCACCTGTTGTTCCTGTATTATTGATCAAAGCATTCAGTGACTATGCTGGCATGAAAGGTCTTAGCTTTAGCATGCCATGATTTTGTTATATATGGTGAATGGCCAAATATTTTGATGAATCTCCCACAAAAATTGACCAAAAAAGCAAAATATTGCATTTTCAATATTGGGCCAATATTCCAATCTTGTTTTACCATGGAGAAAATCTTTTAGTCCATATTGGCACAGTGTTACTGTGCTGCTAAGGTTGCATGTCTCCTAACCCGCCTCTATAACTCCTTCACTTATTCTCTGGTTCATGAACCCAGAAAACTACTGAGCAATTCAGCACTAGTCAAATGTTTTCCATTTGTTCCTTTAAAATACCAGGGAATGTATACTTTAAACTAGAAAAAATAAACCCTTCTTGGAACTTAGTTTTCTTCTTTCTCTCCAAACCTGTTTCACTTTCCCTCACTATCTCCTTTTCCTTTCATTCCAATCATTTCCTCTTTGGAGGAGTTTTCCTCTTCCATACATTTGTTGTTTTTTGCCATGTGTTGAGGCTGAGCAGAATTCAGAGCCATTTGACTTGAATTGGAGTATACAGAGTGTCTCACATAGATGTACCACACCAGCTGAATAAAGAGCTATTACCTGAATCCCATAACTTTTTATTATTTAATTTTGTTAATCATATAAAATAAATTGCAATCCACTCCTGATACCCATACAAGTTTTATCTCTCAATCATGGATCACCAAAAATAAAGATAATCTGAATTTATGGAAAATAATTCAAACAGTAATCAGGGGGCAGTTTAAGACCCTTGGTCCAAAATAATTCCACCAAGAGCCTTGGAAATCCCATTTTAGGAGAAAATATGCCAGAATACATTGACACACAGTAGATAAGGGTCAAACCAATCTCAATCAGAATTAGTGACTCTCTGAAACTTGGCAAACCTTTCCATAAGAATTTGCTTGACCCCAACCAGCACATCTCACTCTGGCAACTAACCCACTTGATTTCAGCAGAGATGCAAGTCAGTGAATGTATGTGCTTTCCAGTTCATTATGTGTTCATTATATCTCTCCAATTGAAAGGAAACTCATAATGAAGTGGCCCTCGTGAGAACAAATGTCATTCATTGCTTGTTGCATGCTTGAGTCAGTCACTGCCTTCTGAACATCTAAACATTAGAGAAAGGTTTTCGGTAATGTTATGTGTATTCCTGCAGAGTATACAACCTATTGGTTGTGCAGTCTGGCGGGGGCAACTTGGTGTCACTGGTCTGTGGACTTACTTTTGTGGCAAGTGTTCTTACAAGAATGCCAACAAGACTCACATGGACATTCATATCCGGAGTCATACAGGGGAGAAACCCTTTCAATGTCGAATGTGTGGAAAGAATTTCTCAACAAAAGGTAATGCCAGTGCCCATATTGTGGGTGTTCATAAGACCCCTGTCCAAGATAACATTGTCATGCTATTGCACAAGAAAGTTTGAATGTGCAAGACAGGCTGGTTTGTTGTGCTCAGACAGCTTCAACTCTTCTACATGGTTATTGAGTTGCATTTCATAATGAAAGGTATTTTCCATCTTCTGAAATTTTCTGCTTTACTTGGAAGTGTCCAGTTTTCTTTCATTCCAACAAATTGATTTAGACAGTGCTTGGGTTCAGTTTTTATTGGAGGAAAAAAAAAGGAGCTCAAGTATAATCATGAAAGGCCAAGAAACTGGGAAATAGAAAAAGAACTGAAGCAGTTTCCAAAAAAATGTAACAGTTGAAGATGTGTACATGCCTCATGCAAGCATTCTCCCTTCAACTTTGCCAGAAACTATGAATGAGATCTAAATGAAAACCTGACCAGCTCGTTAGTAATAATAATGAAAAGTTTAAAAAATTATCTTTTGGTTTGGAGAGAGCATTGGCTCAATTAGCATATCTGACAGCTAGGGTAATATTTATTGTCATTCACTTGGAGATACTCAATGGAGACTTTACCCCACTTATAAATGCTGAAGATTAGCATGAAAGAGACCATCCTCTCCAGAAACATGGCCAGATGACAAGTTGCACGATAGTGGTGAATTTCCCCAATAATCATGCAAATGAGAACTTATAGAGAGCTGTGCATTTTGCTCTTAAATGAAAGGGCCTGGTAACCTGCAGTAGTATTCATGTACACCACCTGATGCAACTCTACTCTCTCATATCATTGTAGTGGGCTATATGAATCCCTCTCTCAAGAAACTCTGAGTGATGAAGGGAAACAGTATTTGGATGCATGTTCTACTACCTCCTACTTCCTACTACTCATGAGTAAGAGTTAAGACTGGTATAGCTTATTTGCAAATGACCTGCCATTTCAAAGGATGAACTGCAAAACCTAAGGTATGAACTAATGGTCATAAATTAATGTCATTACTGATAATATATAATAGCTTTTGATTAAGTGCATAGAGTGAATCGGATGACTTATCCCAGCATTCTTATCATTATGCAATGCCAAAAGGCATTAATGATAACAATTATCCCCATACTTGATGAATAATTCAAAGAACAAGGAGCTGCAGAGCTTGATATTGTTAGAACAAGCAATTGAAAGATGTAAAAATTCTTGAAATACTTGCAATTTTCCCTTTAATGTATAATGCATCTTCATTTACCTTTCCTTTAAAATTTTGTTCCTTGGCTTTTTCTTATTTTTGCAATGCCTTACATATTCCATTGAGCAGAACTAAGCTTGTAGGATGGTACCCTGACAAGGGGGTGATAACTCCACTGATCCTGAAATTTTCTATAGTTATGAACTCAAGACATGATGCCCAAATCCTGTTACATTGTCTTTTACATTCTGTATTATTGGAATTTCTCCACCAGATACCCTGCATTGTCTGAGCTTGTTTTTTATCTCACTGTATTGCATTCCAAGGTTGAAGAATGTTCAGATTTAGTCCAAAAAAATGGACCATGATATGATTTACTGTTCCACATGCTTTCTGCATGTGTGCCTCTTGAAAGGCAGATTGAAGGTATTCTTATCTTCAATAATGAATAAACACAAAATACAGTAAGTCTTTGAATTAGATAAGATGTAAGCTGAAACTTGTAACTTCTATCCATCAGGAAATTAAAAATGCCTTGTCATTTAAAGTAAAAGATCTTATCTGAATTCAAGGTGAATTTAAACATGATTAAAAGCAAGAATAGAGGACCGAAACTGTAAAAATGATGGGAAGTAACTGCTCAAGAATAACATTACAAATTAAAGGACACTGAAGTTTCATTCAAATGGATATTTGCATTGGAAGTGGAATGGATAGTGTTCAATGGAAGAAAAGAATCAGTTATGCTGTATCATGTTGGTGGATCTACCACTTTCTTCTTCCACTCACTGTAATCCCATGGATGCTGACTCCTTACTCAGGTGATTAGTTCTGCTGTGTTTCATACATTGTGTCCCCACATGGTGCTGTTCATTGTCCAAATGTACCTGGGAATCTCCAAGAACCTCCAAAAGGAAGTTCAGATCACAAGGAACTTCTTTTGACAGTTTTCACCATTATCTAAAGGATCTGTCTCCCCTACTTCTCTCCTTTTCAATTTCTTTTTAATGGTATATTAGATGTGTTTGGACAGAAATAAATTTAACCATATTTTCTTGAAATACCAGGCTACATACACTTAATTTCTGTCATGTTAATTCTTATTAGCTCTTTTGCACTGCAAAAAATAAGTTATGAACTTGGATTGGGTAAAATTCTCCAACTCATCAACATTCAGCTGGTGGTGTGCATATGATTGCTGGACCTGCATGATACACCTTTCAGATTCCTCCCTTTACATTGGTAATTGTTTTGCATCCTGGGCAAAGCCACATGACTTATGTTTGGTCCATGAGCTTCTGTTACCTTCAGTTATTTAGGTAACATGAATTTTATAGTCATGTTCTCCTTCTTTAGTACTCACATGCAGGGACATCATTATATACTCTGCAGTGGGGGCAACTGGGTCAAAGGAAGGCAAAGAGCCATGAGTAGAGTGAAGGTTCCCCCCTCCCTCCAGTCTTCCCGAAGTGAAATCCCTGCTCACATTGAGTAGTTTATGTAACCCAGCCCCAAATGAATTACAGGATGTGAAGGAGCAGCCAGTAGCTGAGGGAAGGAAAGTGAAGAATATATTTTGAGTGATTGATTCAAGGGAAGGGAAGAAGAAACTGAGAGAAAGGAAGGCAAATGATGCTAGTCAAATTCATTGATGAATCAAATTAATGTAGCAAATGGGAGTTGTGACTTCATCATTCACTCTTCTTGCAGTAGTTCATCTTTTCATTCCAATATTTTAAATAAAATGCTATAACTAACAAATGGTTTGCCTGAAGAATATGAGCAGCAAATTTTTTCACAACAGACCTACAAATATCTTGATAAAACACAGATTTCTGAAAACCTTTGTTCTAGACACTTTGATTCCTTGTTGCACTTCTATTTCAGAAGGTCTTGAGTGCATTCAAACTGCGTTGAATGTTCTCAAATTGAAATGGCTACCTAATACATTTTTTAAGTAGAATTCTCATCATGCCAAGACATTCAGCAACTTTGACTTGTTGCAGAATAGGGAAGTGTTTGTGGGTGTGACTCTCTTCTGTGGTGGACAGACAATCGGGGCTCATAAATTGGTGCTGTGCTCTAGGAATGCCCTTTTTGAAAAATTATTGCAGAGAAACAATGGCCCAAGTTCCATCATCCATTTCCATGGTATAGACATGATGCACCTGAGACTTCTGGTGGATTTCATGTTTTTGGGTGAAGTGGATGTGCCTTCTTGTGATCTGGAGGCCTTCATCCCTCTTGCTGATAGCCTCAATGTGAAAGGCTTAAAAGGAGATCCATAAAAAATCTTATGTACCCTCATCATTTGTAAGACCAGAAATGCCTTCAACATGTGAAAAGTCTCTGGTCTTTTTTTTTCGAATTGCATGATGTATATATATCTAGAACCATATTAATAACTGCAGAATTATATGGCTACCAAAGTTGAAACCACATGGAATTAATTATTGTGATGTGTTTATCTTTTTCTAGGCCAATGAGTTGCATATTGATTTGTTGTCACCTTCCAAACCACAGATGTATTGGAAGGCTCCTGTATTATGGCTTGCACTTTAACCATTTGGAAAGAATAGTCCATTCTAGTTCTCTTGGAAGGTGCATGTCATAATGGCAAGCAAATTTACTTTGAAGTGGAATTCTCACCATGCTGAGACTTTCAGAAACTTTGACCTGTTACGGAACAGGGAGATGTTTGTGGATATCACACTCTCTTGCAGTGGGCAAACAATGAAAGCTCATAAATTGGTATTGTGCTCTGGTAGTTCTCTTTTTGAAAAACTACTACAGAGGGACAATAGTGCCTGTCCCATCATCCACTTCCATGGCATGGATATGCTGCATCTCAAACTACTGGTGGATTTCATGTATTTGGGTGAAGTGGATGTACCTTCTTGTGATCTAGAGGCATTCTTCACTCTTGCTGATAGCCTTGAAGTGAAAGGCATAAAGGGAGATCAGTTCCCCGAATCTGATGCATCTTCTTTGTGTGAAAGGCCTGAAATGCAATCAATATTTGATAAACCTAAGATGAATGGCCAAGGTCCCATTGAACAATCAAGAGTAGCATCAGGTCAACCAAGCACGTCTGGTTTGACTTGGAAACGAAGGCTTCCATCTGCAGCAGTCAGTAGTGCAGGGTTGCAAGATCTTATATCTCCTGCTTCTGCCTGTCCAATACCAGAGAAGAGGTCAAAGCCTGCCTTGATTGTTCCAGATGACCTCTGTCAGGTAGGACATTGTTTCCATTCAAGAACGTCTTCAGGGAAGCCATACATTACAATATGCATTTTTTGTTTTGATATCAGGTGTCAGACAGGATTCAACCAGAAGACTTGCTGAAGGCTGAAGATGAGGAAATCGAAGAAGTGGAACAGGTGGAAGTAAGTCTTCCTGCAGCAGCATTGGTATTTAAATTATTCTTGACACACATGCGTGAATGGGCAACTGTTTTTGGTCTGAAGACTACATGGTAGCACCTAGCTGTAATTCAGTATTTGATGAATAAATCTGAGCTGCAATATTTCAGGATGGTGGTGAGTCCTATTATGTTGGGGGCGAAAGTATTGAAGCTACTGAAGGTGACAGCACTAACAGTTCTCAGATGGTGGAAGGGGAGGAGTTTGATACAAGTGAACTCCCTCCTGACATTCCTCCTGAAGTAGCACCAGAGGTAAGTTTACTTTTGTTATGTAGTTGTAATCTTTCTCCACTCATTTGATCTTTAGATAGATCAACTGACTGCGACATGCCAGCAAGGCTGCATGAGTAATGCATATCTTAACTGAATCATTGTATTTCCAGATCGATTCCCTTTGTTGTCATACTTGAAAGGGTTTGCAGTGTGCGGTGGTACCAGATTCATTAATATCTTTCAGAGGGAGTATTAGTCATAAAAAAATTTATGTATTCAAACAATTTATTTTCATATATTTGTGATAACTAAAAACTATGAAAGAGCTTCTCATGAAAAACCAAGGTTGTTTACACCATGATTTTCATGTTTCATATGTTTTCAACAGGAGTGGAATGTTGTAAAAATTGTAATTAACCAAAACCAAGAGTGAAGGATCAATTAGCTTCATTTCATTTTGAATGTGAACTTCGTTTCTGAGCAAATCACTGAAAAACCAAGAGAAAGAAAGTAAGCTTGTCAGTTTCTTGCAAAAACCACTCAAAAAGAGACATGTATATAGTCATGCTGAATTCTAGTAACATAATTCTTATATGGTCCATTGATATATTTGCATATGTGGTCATTTCTGGTCCATTGGACCCCACAGTTAGTTTTTGGTTCCTGCTGTCCAATTAACTTCATCCTGTTAGCTAATTGAACTAATTCAGTTTTATTGGTTATAATTCTGCCATTTTATTTTCTTCTCAACAAACTTTAACATTTTTCCCTGCAATGTGGGAGAAGCATGATACTCTCACAAGGTCATTGACATGAATTATAGACACTCCATGAATCCATCCCATTCCATTGTGATACAGTGCTTTTGTTCATGTCTGGTCATTGGGTGCCTTCCCCCTGTTCAGTGGAAGTTGTTTTGGGAAAATCCTTTTGGATTGCGAGGCTCAATTAACCCCTACCTATCACTATAAGGATTTGCTGTATGCCTGTTAAGCTGGTTGTTGAGCCACTTTCAAGGGAAGGACATGTCTTTTTTTGCCAGACTGTGACCAGGGGGAGAAATGGAATTTGGTCTGGGAAGTCTGCTCGAAGGCAGTGCAGGGTATACTTCTGCACTGACTGTACCTATTCATCATCACGCAGCTCCAATATCATAAAACACTCTCGTATTCATACCGGTGAAAGGCCATTTGCATGTCATATTTGTTGTCGAAGTTTTACAAAGAAAGAGTCTTTGAAAAATCACATGTGGGCCTGCCACGATATGGTCTGACCTTTCCTTAATTGTAGTTGATGCAGAAAGATCAAATGAAACTGTCAAGCTCTGTCTCTCTGGTTTCCTGCTTCAGATATTTGATGCTCAGAATCATGGTGACAGATCCCAGGGATGAAAAGTATATCAGCTGTGATAGCATGTTCATCTGTCTGGTGGCATGAGGGCTTGGGGTGAATGAGGGCTCATGCCATTTGCCATTTTCTGTTCCCACCCCACAGTCTTTAGACTTGAAATCTTTTATACATTATTGTCTCTTCTGTGGTAATGTGGATTCCATTCCAGAAGGAGTAAATATATTCATATGAAAATGATGTGTTAAGGAGCCTATTTTTTAAATCAAGCTTAACCCTTTCAGACCTGAATTTTGGCCGCTATCAGAATTATATCTTTTTTTGCATTTTTGAGCTCTATTATGATTTTAATTGAAATTTTCGTGCTTTTTATATAGTTTTCATATTTTGTATAAATTTACCATATATTATAAATTAAACATTTAATTAAATAACTGAAGATTAAAATAGTAAAGGGTAAGAGAAGGCCTCTGATGGAACTAAGCCATGCATAATTACACCCATTTTAGTGTAATATGTAGTGCAAATTCACAAAAATTTTAAGAAGTTGCCATAGACACAATGTAAATGCAATGTCCATTGCAATGGATGCCAGGTCTGAAAGGGTTAACCCTTTGAGGAGTGGGTTGTTTCAACATCTAGATCACCCGTAGTGAATACATGGAGGGCAGGAGGATGTCATCCCATATATATATATGGGCATACTTGTCAAAGGGTTAAAAAGAAAGGACTTTCAAGTGGGGATTTCATCATTGATGAGAAGTTATTTTATTCATACACATTTACATGTCAGTCATAGTCTTTCATTGAGACTATTATGTCATCAAATTTGGGCCATCATTTGTGCACTGTCTGTTGGAATCTGTGGAAGTTGCTCAACCCCTTTTCAAATGCAAAGCATGTGGCCAAAATGCTTTTCAAGAATACAGATATTCACCTCATATTACATTCATGTCCCTGTCCTTCTCAAAATTTATAACCAAGTATAGTATTTCTAACCTCAATTAATTGATTTTAGGATAAATATGCATGGAATCATTTTTATTATATGAGCCTGGCTCCAAATCAGTACACCATGTCTTAGTCATATTGAAACTTTGTCAGAATGTGTTCTCAGTTATGGTCAAATACAATCAAATGCCATTCCTGCAGTATGCATGGGTGCCTCTCAGAAGGCAGTTTGATGGTATTCCCTCCACTTCAATATTGAGCATCCTCAAACTTTAGAGGTCTGCAGATTATGCTCTAGACCACATTTATTGCAGAATGCATCGAAATGATGGTAAATGTATACTTATTTCAATGGTGGCTATCCTAGAGCATTCCAATCAGAAGAAATACTGAGTATGCTCACTTGAATATGCAAATGATCCCATTTAATTGCATACACAAGCAAAGTTTTCTAAATCCTTTGTGCTATAGTATAGCATGTATTTGCTGAACTCTACCATATATTTATGCTCTTCCATTACAGGAAATACAGTCAATTTCAATGTTTTGAAAGTGCTTACATCAAAATGGCAAACAAGTACAATTTGAAGTGGAACTCTCATCATTCTGAGATATTCAACAACTTTGATATATTACGGAGCAGGGGAATATTTGTGGATGTCACTCTGTCTTGTGGTGGGCAGATGATAAAGGCTCACAAATTGGTCTTGTGTTGTGGGAGCACCCTTTTTAAAAACTTGTTGCAGAAGGACAACAGCACCTGTCCCATCATCCATTTCCATGGCATAGACATGATGCACCTGAGACTTCTGGTGGATTTCATGTATATGGGCGAAGTGGATGTACCCTCAACCGAACTGGAGCAATTCATTGCTCTTGCTGACAATCTGGGAGTTAAAGGTTTGAAAGCAGATGAATCCCATCGGTCTGATGTCCCCCCGTCTTTGGAGAGATCAGAAACACAATCAACAGTTGGAAGACAGCAGAATACCCACCATGCCTTTGAACAATCCTTAGGAGCTTCAGTTCAACCAAGCACATCAAGATCAAGCTCTGCTACTCGAACAAAGAGGAGAATTCCTCTAGTAATGGATAGTAGCTCAAGATCACAAGATGTTGGACCATCACATTCTCCATTGCCAGTACCTGTGAAAAAGCCAAAGCCTGAGTTGATTGTACCTGATGTCCCAAGTCAGGTGAGGATCTACTTTATGAGCATGAAATGTTTAGTCATTTGCTATCAGGTTTTCACTTCCTAATTAGGTATCTGAAGGAGTTCATTCAGAAGAGTTGATAAAGACTGAGTCTGAGGAGACTGAAGAAAACCAAGTTGAAGTGAGTATTATTCTTCATATTTGGCTAGGGAGGACATGCCTCAAGTAGATAATACAATGGAATCATCCCATGCAAATTCAGGATGGTGATTCATCTAATTGGACTGGTGATGAAGGAGGGATAGGAGTAGATTGTGATGAAAGTAGTTCATATCAAGTGGAGGAAGGAGAGGAGTTAAATTCCAACAAGCTACCAGCCTCTATCCCTTCTGGCATTGTACCTGAGGTTTGTTGCACATGCATAATTTGTTCTGCTGTGATTTAATTTGTTATTTCTGAGGTTATTGATTAGCCAGCTTAAGTTCTTTTATAGTACTTCATTTGTAGAAGACCAATTCTTTTTTACAGCATATTTCATTTATTTTTCCTTTTTACTTTTCAACCTTGACTGTGCTGGCAAAAGAAGAGAATACCTTACAAATGTCTCACTTGGTATACATTTGGTATACATCTATCTCAAGCATTGAGACACAATGTAACTGATATACTTGCTGAGATCTTTCACCATGTCCCTGCTGCTTTGCATGTATCTGAAGGCCCATGATTTTTTTTGTCTGAAACTGCCAACCTAGTTGGAAGTACTGAATTAAACTTACAAAGCAGGGAGACTGATTTTCCATTCAAGCATTTAGATCAACTCTGCATAATTGAACTTTTCTTGAAACCAATAAGTATTTTATTGTTTTTTCTAGAAACCTTTGTCTGTATTTTCTTGCTCTATGACTTAATCTACAGGGTGGGCCAAAAGTATTGACCCACTCTTTAAAATATAACTTTGGAATGGTCACATGTGTTTTAACCAAACAGCATGTGTTGGGTAACAATATCCATCTGCAACACTGACCACACATGAAGTGACATCATGGGTGAATTTGAAGAGCCAGCACCTAAGTGGAAGACAATCAAGTGTCTAAATAGTGTTTCACAAAACAGGGACAGTATTGGGCAGGAAATGATCAGGTAGGCCAAAGAGTTCACACCCTGGAAAGTCCAAGTCAACATGATGTGTTTAATCTTTGCTGGACATTATTCCATCCTCAATCCAACATATCCTGAAGGACACGGCATACAGACCTTATCATTCCCAAATCGTTTGCACTTTCCATGAAGACGATCTGGACCAGCACATGCAGCTTAGGGATGATTGGAGCAACTGAAGAAGAACCCTGAAAAGGTGGATTGTGTTATCTGGAAGCAATAATGTGAAATTCCACCTTTCAAGGAGTGTGAACCACCACAACTACATGTACTGGGTGGCAAAGAACTCCCACATGGTCATTGAGCTACCCGACCAATCATCTTTGTGTAGGCACAAGCTCTCTAAATTCCTGTGGCATTCTTTTAGGTACTTCTGCAACATTGTTGGGAAAAATAATATCATGCATCTAGTTCTAGTTCTTCTTTCAAGATGTAGACATACACCTGTCATGTTGCTTAATGTTACAGATGGAAATGGCTTGCCCATAATGTTGTTTGGTGAAAATACCTGCAACAATTCCAAAATTATAACATTATGAAGAGTGTCATTACTTCTGGTCTACCCTGTATAATTTGGCTGATCTATATGCAGAATGTCAAAAGAATAGGAATGAGTGTGAGAAATGATGAACTTGTAGAAGACACCCAACCACACCCACAAATCATTCTCATGTTTCTGCTGTCTCTCTTATGTCCATATACGAGTCCTTCATTCAATGCCCATTTTGAATGAACAAAATATCTGCTTCCTTTTCTGTCAAATGTGAAAACCAATTTAACCTGAAAAATCACAGTTTTACTACCAATTACCCTGAACCAGATGGTCTTTGTTTTTGATTCTGTCTTCATCCATCATTTTGGTGTTCTGCATTTTTCTCCCTGCATTTTTCAGGAGTAAATTTAAGGGTTCACCTTGAGCGATTCTCAGTCTTTGTCTTTGGTCAAAATTCTATTTGGAAGGATATGAAGGATATATATGCCCGTTCTTGAAGTCCCTGAAATTCTTCCATTGTACACCAGTGTTGATATTGACCTATTGTTTCTTGATTGGACACTAAGAATGAGATCCAAAAAAAATCAACACCCTTGATAAGTCCAACATAAAGCATCGGATGTAAGTTCCTCATTTTAAAATTCTCTTCGCAGAGCCTTTCCCTGACCCATCCTTCTGGCGTCTGGTGCGGACAGCACTCGAGCGGGGTGAGGGAATTCTTCTGCACCTTCTGCCCCTACAAGAGCTACTACAAGCACGCGGTGGTGCGGCACAGCCGCATCCACACGGGAGAGAAGCCGTTCGAATGCCAGCACTGCCACCGTGCGTTCGCCCGCAGTTCGAGCCTCAAGCTGCACATGTCTTCCCTTCACCGTGAGAAGCTCTGAGTGCCGAGCCCTTTGGGTTCGGTCCAGCAACTGGGCTTTGGTGTAGTCTTTCAATCTGGTCTTCCGAGGTCCAAAGCGATCGGAGTCGAGCTGTCGATTGAGTTGCGTGTGGTTTCTGAGTAGATTTCAAGTTTGCGAGGAGGAGTGGAAGGCATTTGTGATCACTTGCCAGAGTAAGCTATGTTCAAGGTGAAACCTTTACAAATGTGATTGATCTAACATTCCAAAAATAATCAGACCAACAGTGTGAATCTATTGGCAGATTAATTGAAATAATTTTTTAACATGACTGTGATGGGCAACTACTCAGTATTCCATTGAAGTGATTTGCAACTAATGAATTTTTAATCATATTTATTATTTATGAGAATCGCTAGGGTACCGATGCGCGCCTGGCCTGATGTCATCTCACGGCCTCGAAAATGCTCAAGATGTAGGTGTAGGTCATATGACATGCGGTGACGGCACTTGTGACCACTTGTGGTATGTATCGATGAAGCAGCACATTTGAACATTCCCTGTTTTATATTTATGTATAAATTGTTATGGATGCAGAACGATTTGTCTTTCCTTTCCAAGTCAAAACAATAGTGAGAGCCAAGAAATCACTGCTACGAGGACGCAGAAGTGAAAGCACGAGCGAGGAACCATCTGACAGTTCTTGCAAGGTCCTCTCCTCCTTAAGGCTGGCACTGGTAGGAAATCGGCATTACGGCGTGAGTCCGATGGAGGTGGAGGCGAGCTGGAGGGATCTAGAAAATCGATTCTTTCCGGACTGGTGGAAGGCCAGTCGGTGAAAGGCGAGAAATCATTTGGGTCTCGAATTCCCGGACTTGAATTTTACTAATTCGTGACGAACGCTACTTTCTGGTCCATTCCGTCCACGATCGGGCCACGAGGCTCGATCCGAGCCGGTCGGATACGACGATGCATCGCTCGAGTGTCGGATTGTTTCCCGGGCTTTTTGTCCCCTGGAGTCTCGAGATGAGCATTTTTTCGGGCATTTTCTCGTCGAAGAAGCGGCCGGTCGATGGAAGTCCGACCCTTATTGCATTTCCTTCTGAAAGTGATGCATCGTTTCCTGCGAGGCTCTGTGGAATTCTCCGATTCGGATTTGGATTCACGGTTGGAACCAGAGGTCGTGCACGCACGGACAGTGCGTGCACGCCCCCCACGCCTCGACGTGCTGAGATGCCAGCAGGTGAGACAGAGCACCACGACTCCGTAGAAAATTCCTCCGCAACCCACGTAAACCCAAAACCGCTCCGTTCCGAACCGCCGAAGAAGCGGCTTCAGACGATTCCAGAACGGGTCGAATTCCTGGAAGCAATTCTCGCCGCAACAGCGGCAATTGCAGGCAGCGCCTGCACCCGGCACGCACGCGTCGAACTCTGGTCGAACCGGGAAACGATCCCCATCGCCCATTCTCGAAGCGGGGAAAATGCACAACTTTCCCGAAATGTCCAACGTTTGTTGGGAATTTCGAAAACGTTTGAGGACCTGTGGGGTGTTTGCGGACCCGACCGGACACGATCGGCACGCAGGCATCAGCGGAAAGAAACCGGCAGATGGTGCAGAGTGGCGACCGCCCCAACGGCGACCACCCCGACGGCGACCGCCCCGACGGCGACTGCCCCCGCTCCCCGAGGGCCCCCTCGCCACATAGGAGCAAGAGAATCGGCGCGAGATGAAACAGCAGCATATTTTTAAATGGAAATTCGATGCGATATGAGACAGGAAGAGATAAATAGGTGACAGAGGGAGAGAATATATATTTTGTCCATTGTCAAGTCTTCAATTGCTTGAGAAGAGAGAGAGAGAAAAGAACCTCGTCCCTCATGCGTCCTTTGCATCTCCGCTCTCGCTGATTTTTTTTTTTATTACGAAATTTGCACTGTGTTGACCGATGCGATATCAAAAACTCTTGAAATCCGACGAAAATTTGTTCCGTGTCGGAGCGATCGTTCGAAAGAAATCGGAAATGGAATTTCGCTTGTCGGAAAGTGCTTCAGCGGCTTATTCACAGGCGCTTTGCCGACGTCGCTCGATGTTAATCTGCCTTGCTGGGGTGTGAGAAGCGAAATTAGACGTTAACCTTGCGAATTGCTCCGTGGAAAATGACGGGTCGTTGTGTCGACTGTCGACTCGAGTCGGTCGTCCACAAGCTTCGAATCGGAGCCCCAAATATTCCTAAACTATTGCTAAAACTGAACCGAGCGAGCGGAGCACTCACAGCAGCCATCCGGGAAAGACTGAAGGGAAGCGCCGAGCGAGACGCCTAGGGACGCCGATCGCTCCCCTGGCGGCAAGGAAGGAAAGCGTCGAGGGGGGAGGGGGAGGGTGAGCACTTCCGGCGCGTCATCCAGTCTCGTTCCGGCTGGGGAGGAGAGCAGGCTTCGTGGCGCCGTCTTCAGCACGTTTTTTTTTTGTTCGTGATGTGACGCACCTGCCTCTGTGGCATGTCTACTGGCCGCGTTAGTCGATGAACGTCGTGGTTTACACCATGACTGTACCGATGGCCACATTTGGCCGGTGCCGGTGCCGATTGTGGTCAGTAGTTTGAGAGAAAAGTAACATGAAATCGCATACTAATTCAATTAGGCCTATTTGGAAGCTATGTCATACTTCACATTGGCCTCCTTGAAACGAGAGAGACCAATTTTAGTCCTGCCCAACCTGTCAGTCTGTCTATGTCTGTCAGTTACTCATTACAGCTCCTTAGGAGCGTTTACAGACAAATGTCTCACAAAAGCAGAGCATGAAAGGAATTGAGGCCGGCACCTCGCGTTTTGCCCCTACTTTGGCATCGGCACCGGCAACTTGCAACCCAGTCGATGGCCGATGATGCAACACTGGCGACCGATACCGGTGGTTGCCGATACATCGGTACCGCCCTAGTTTATGCACATGCATCTAACGGTACATGCGTTTCCATCATTTTATGGAAAGTACTTATTTTCATTAAATAACGTTATAGCATGCAAATTTGAACAGTATGAATCTAACTAAGCAAATGGCAGATTGAAATGAATCTCAACTAGTAGGACAAACCCATTTCAATTCGCTCCAATTGGATCTGCGTTTAGATCGGGTTCCGAAGTTCAAGAATCGGGAAGTTCGGGTTCTGATCCGAGTTCGCCTAATTAGGCTGAGATTTCGATTCGTGGCCGAAAACGGAACAATTTCAGTTTGGATTCGGTTCACAAGTGACAATGAGCCGAAGACAATAAAAAATGGAAGAAAGGAAGACCACTCGTGGTCGCATTTTTGGATCTCACGTTCTAATTTTCGCCGATTTGGATTCGCCAGGCTCGGCTGCAGTCCAAGCTGCCTCGTCGAGCGATTAAGCAGCTTAAGATTGTTCTGCTGCACGGAGAGCGACACACTCGATGTTGCCGAATCCAGCGGCTTATTGCATGCCCTCATCGCTTCACGTTTATATCACTCAATTATCGACTCAGATTAAGCATTCACAAACTTATTCTCCCCAATTCGTCATCTCAGCCTACAAACCTGATATGTCATTACCATGAGAATTCGCCACAAAGCCACAGAGTGACTCTGGGAATGGAGGCAGCCATGTTTGACTCAGCCAGTCGGGAGCCTGCCGAGCCGAGTCGACTGGTCGAGATTTGCCGAACGGTGAATGAACAGCTGTTCAGTCGGCTGAACAGGTGGGACCGACGGTAAGCACGTTCATGTTTGGATTCATCGTTCAAGGTGATTCACGTCACTTGACAAACGATTAATGGAGGAGAGTCGGCTCAACCCGGATATGTTTTTCTCCCCTCTACGATCGTCAGCGCATGTTGGGTATTCGCGACGCACCATAAAGAAACCCAAGGTTGGGGTAGGTGGGTTTGCATTCCTTGGAGGGAGAGGCAAGGTTTTTTGGGTGCTCTTGGACCTTAATGCAGCTCTTGTCCCAGTCCACCAACGTCCTGAGGACGACACTTGGCCTAACAGTTATTTTAATTTTTGTTTAATTCTAGTCCTAGTCTAAGGTGACCAGACGTCACGGTTTTTCAGGCTATGCCCTAGTTTGAAATTTTTGTTGCCATTCTGATGTCTCAACTTTTTCATATATAGCAAAAAATTGTTCATGAGGTGTCTTCCCAGCAAACAATTTGAAACACATAATGTCGAATCAATGTTGAATCAACTTTGAATAAACTTTAGGAACGTTAATACAACGTTGGTCCAACGTAGCCTTGTTTGAACCCATAAATAGTAAGATTCCTTTCTGCTGAGAGCATATGTGTCCTTTTTGCAGTGATGGACTGCCACTTGAGAGTCTTTTGCATAATTTTAGGCTAGGTCTGCTTTCTTGGTAAATAGAGATTTGGGCTATATCTAGATGGATTTCTTGTTTCTATAGGTGGTGGAAAGCCATAATGTCTAACAAATATAATCTAAAGTGGAACTCCCATCATGCCGAGGCATTTGGGAACTTCGACTTGTTGCGTAACCGAGAGATGCTCGTGGACATTACCTTGTCCTGTGGTGGGCAAACCCTAAAAGCACACAGGCTGGTGCTGTGCACAGGAAGTGCATTCTTCGAGAAGCTGCTTCAGCGTGATAACAGCAGCAGTCCGATCGTGCATTTTCACGGGATAGACATGATGCATCTCAGGCTTCTGGTGGATTTTATGTATTTGGGTGAAGTGGATGTTCCCTCTAGTGAGTTGGAGGAATTCATTGCTCTGGCTGATAGCCTGGAGGTGAAGGGCCTGAAAGGAGAGAAATCAAAAAAATTTGATTCCAGTGGTCCCAGTGGGAGACCTGAGTTGCCACCATCATTTACTAGGCCTCAGATGACTAGTGCAGTCCCATTCACCAATGTCAGACCTTTGGGTACCCCATTGAAATCGAGCACTGCTACGTCAAGTTACCCTACTCCTGGCAAACGAAGGCTTCTAGCTGGAGTAGATAGTGCATCTGTAGTACATGATGCGAGGCCATCACTATCTGCCTTGCCTACACCTGAGAAGAGGGCAAAACCAGAGACTATTGTACCTGATAATCAGGTGAGGAATAGATTCTCAGATGCTCCATACTGATAGTTCTGTAATCTGCACCTTTTCCTTGTCTGTATAGGCAATGTAATTAATTATTTATCAGAAGTCTTAGAACCTAATAGCATGACTTTTCAGGATATATCAATGTTGATCTGCAGCATTGGCAGGCTGTCACATCAGGTACAAGTAATGTCATGTTTTTGTATGGATGGGTGTTTGTACTTCTATTGGTGATTCCTTGAAACAAAGCAAAACAAGCAAACCTCCAATCAGCTCTTCACAACTCATTGTTGGCATTCCCTGTGATGGTATTGTTCTTAATAGATTTCAAAATTTTTTTATTATAGAACAGATGAATGACCATGACCATTTCTTGCTGAAATTTCAATGTATGTCTTGCAGCTAACATGAAAACTATTAGACTACAAAAATGAAGACCTTTAATTGGAAGAACTTATCTCAAGATTAGCATCTACAGAGAAAGTGGTGACACTAGTGAATTGATCATCAGTTTTTGCTCTAATTTTCCCATTGCAGGTACAAAAAACGCTTGTTGTGAAGTGTTTACATTTACTTAAACCTGGTCAATGTGGTGTTGGTGCAGTGAATAGTGATTTTTCTATTGATTGCACCCACCCAATCCCTCTTAAGGTCCAACTTTACACCCAACTGAGTGATACCTGTCTCAAAGTAACTGCCCCTGACTACATCAGTGACTGAAGTGGGAATTTACTATTTCCTTTTGCCATAGTAGGTGGGATGTCAATAAACAATCAAACCCCTCAGTGGTTTGATTTTTTATTGACAAAGTCAAAGAATAAAAAATCCATCAAGTTCTTCATGCAGTGAATGTTCTCTTTAAGATACTTAAAGATAACAGATAAGATACTTTATGATACTTAAAATACTGTTTTGTCATCTTAGGCATTGGGCAGAGATGAATCTCATTCTGGAACAACAGCCAGTGTGAAGACAGAGGAGGAGGATGACATTGAGGAGGTGGAAGCAGTTGAAGTAAGTCTAGTGTTTTTTTTTCACTCTGTTGATTTGATATCGCAGTGTAGCTACATCATTGAGGAAACTCATGCTCATTTAGGAAGACAATCACCAACCCTTTTGGGCTGAGGAGGAGGGGTTGCCAACAGCTGAAGGTGATAACAGTCAAAGTTCTTATCGAACAGAAGGCGAGGAATTTGATCCAAACGAAATCCCCACCAACATTCCTCCTGAGATTGCACCTGAGGTGAGTCTCATGACTTTGCATGAATAGACCTAGCTATGCCTTTACATGGAGAAAGGTTATGATGATACCACTTGGGATAGACTCCTTTTCATAGGTGCCTTAATGCACCAAAAACTCAGAATTCCTTATAGTTCATATTCTCATGAATCTTATTGTCCCTGCATTTTTACTGTGTTCATTTGAATCAGCATCTTCTTTCCCAGTTAGTCCAATAAATATATTTCATGCATATACATGCTAATAGTAAAGTGGATGTACCAATATTATCAAATCAACATCTGCATTGGTGTCCCCATCAGTTGAGTCCCCTTTCTCCAATTCTAGCAATTGCTTTTGAATGTATTGTCTTGGCTTCACATGACTTTTCAAACATTATCTTGATCAAAGGTTCTCAAATTTCTATCCTATGAGTCACCTTGTCCCTGTCTGCATGAATTGTGAAATAATTGTCATGCTATAAATTCAATGAAGCTGAATAACAATTCTGCACCAGCAGATTGCAAAACTATTTTTGCCACATCCATGCAGAACAAGTGGTCTCACCATGGCCCACCATGGTTGTGTCTAGAGATAAGGTGACATTTTCTTGTCTTCTGAATTGTTATTTATAGTAGGTGCAACAATAATATAATCTGTATTTCAACGGGTATATTGGTTTCTGCATCATGTAAATGATTTGTATGAAAGGTAGTTCAGGTTGTGATTAAATGCAATGAGTCACCATTCTATGTTGCCTAGTGTGTGGGTCACCCACAATTCATGTGTCACTGGTTGAGAATGCCTGATTTAAGTCATCCCACCATATTTGCCATATCTTGAATTTCCTTCCCTAAATAATCAGACTTTACTCCATGTCTCCTGTGGGTGAGTCAGCTTCCAAAAAGTTGGGAGTTTAAATTTTAAATAGCGAAGGAAAAGAACTAAAAATATCTACTATCTGATTAGTAAAGTTTACCAGAAGCATGCTTCACATGGCCCAAGTTTGGTATAATTGGGCAATGAATTGATCAAAACACACTGGGTTTGAGCTACAGCAAAGCCTTCATGTAAATAACTGCATCACCTGCTTTGTTCACAATATAAATACAATCCATCATGAATAAATGCATACCTGCACCCATGATCCATCAATTTAACTTGCATAATTGTTGCAATCATGATAGCAGAAATTCCCAGAAATACTAAATTCAAATTAAAGCAGTGAAAGGTTATATGATCTTGTTTTCAAGTTGATGCTGAGCAGAACAAATGAAATTCACACACATGGTATGCCAGCTGGGTAACAATTTCTGAGGCCAGGTGACAGAGAAAGGCCTACACTATCTCTTTCACTAAGAATGGAGCACTTTTCCTTCTGATATGGCTGCATGGCTTTTGATCATGGTAAAGCAATAACCCACATTGCTCTCCATATCAGAATATTAATTTCACTGTAAACTGCATGGCAAACTGAGTCATTGCAGAAATCCTGCTGACATCCATTATGGACCCTTGGAGGATAAGCATATAATTGTCTGAGGAGAGGTCCTCCATGAGCCCCTCTAATTTGCAGGCATTCTAATGCACTTAAATCCAGTAACACTGCATCGTGCAAACCAAAGAAGCACCCAGACTAAGTGTGTTAGGCAACCACAGAATAATTCACCTCTCCTGGTGTCTGTTCCACAGATATACAAGCTTCAAGTTACAAGTTTATACAAGGGTCATGCCTTGGTTGTGTGAAGGGTCCATGAGACCCACTGGAAGAGATCAACAAGAAGACACAACCCTTGTAAATGCTTTTAGCTTATGAATCTGTGAAACAGGCCCCTGTTGTCATTCAACAATGTCTGTCAGTATAATTTCTGTACCTGCTGGCCAAGGTAGACCTTTATCATGCCTGAGTTTGTAGGATGATTGCATGTACCCACATATATTCTAAAATCAAATAAGCTTGAGGTCCTAACTTAGGCTCATGGTCAAGGTTTATATTTAGACACTTATATTAAGGTCTTCATGTGCTTATCCAGTTAACCTATGCCTATAGACAATACCTGTCTACTGAAATTCCATTGCAGTATAGTGAAGTCTCCTTCACTTAAACCTATGACATCTAGAACAAAAGAAAGTTAACCCTTTTGTGGGCAATGGGAAGCATGCTTCCCAGAAAATGTTTTACCCTCCCCGTGTGCTTTGAAGTCAGCACATGTGAAAATATTTGCTGCAAGGGTTAATGTAAGACCTGGTGTTTGTCAGACTTGTGCATTTATATAAGATGGAATGAAAGGTTTTATGCTCTGACATGGAAGAATATGGGAACAATCACGTAATTAACATTAGTTAGGACTTGTCGGGATGGAAGCTCTTCCTGCCAAAACAGGTATTCATGTTTGCTACACATGCAGGCCAGCCATTTCCTGCCCCTGCTTGGTGCTAGGAATCTAACATCACAAGTATAGAAAGGTAATGCAAGAAGGTGTAAGGGTGTGAAATCGGTAGGAGAAAATGATTCTTGCTTGTTATCCCATGAATGAATGTAGTTTTGACTTCAGAATTTTATTAGTGTAGAAAGTTATTGTGCACTCTCGAATATATCAGATTTTTTTGCTTTAATCTTTCCAGTAGGGTCAAGTTCAGGGCTTTGCAACAGAATAGAGTTCTTAAAGGAAGACAACCAAAGTAGCTCAGAAAAATCATCCAGAAAGAAACAAAATGGGGGTGCATGGAAGGTGATCAGGAACAGTATCAATGTCAAGAATAAATTTTTAAATTTCTGTTTTGACCTTTTAAAAATCATGGTTAGGCCTATAGCCTTCAGGTATCATTTTTTGGGGATTTGCTTTTATTTCAGGGTGTGCATCATCTTCAAGCACTGAATTGTAAATAAACGTTATTGGAGTGCAGATCTGTGACATTTCTGTCAATTTATTCATATTAAAATTTTTTCTGGCAAATTTAAATGACCCTAGAGTGGTACATACTTTGAATGTGTTTAAAATGGAATAGAAAGGAGAATGAAAAAGAACTCAGTTTCAAGCCTGTCACTGGGGAAGAACCAGGTGTATATTCCTGGTTGAATGTAAGGTTGGTGGAATGCCTGAGAGAGCAGGGAGGAAAGGTATTGAGTCCATGTAGTGGCAGGCTCTTCCTTAACCAACAGGTGACACACCTGCTTTTGTGAATAGCGTCTGCTTACATATTAAAATGCATGCTACTCTGTGTGCTACTTCTAGAAGATAATAGGAGGTAATACACCTTAAAACAACACTCATGCCAGTCATGGGTTTTGGCAATCCATGAGCTGCCCAAAAAGCCTCCTCTTGACCATAGAGGATGTCCCTGCCCAAGGGACTATTCTCTTTGTGGCACCTGGGCCAAGTTGACATCTGCTTCTAGATATTATAATAAGCCTGTTGATGCATGTGTCCACTGCATGTCCTGTTATTTTGAGAGAGAGAAAAGTTGGTGTAGTACACCCAAGAAGAAAGCTGAAAAGTGAATATGAAACTACATTTTGAGCATTGCTAAAACCCACTGGGGGTGATGGTACAGAAGATTTGTGCTCAGCTACAATCTGTAAGTTTTTGTGATCAACCATTGTATACATGATCATGATTTCATAGATGTCACCTTGCAATATGGCCATGGCCAGAGACTATGGAGAGCCAGAATCACCAAGCCCATGCTCTGCTTAGAATCTGGAACACTTGTACTATATAGGGTACATAAAGTCTTTTCCATATTTTGAGATTTTACAACATGGTTATAATCTGTTTGTCAGACTGTAACAAGAGGATATGATGGGGTCGGGTCTGGTATCAGCAAGAAGACCAAGTGCAAGATCCACTTCTGTACATTCTGCAGCTACCGCTCACCATACAGGACAAGTACACTGAGACATGTGCAGTCACGGCACACTGGTGAAAGGCCCTATGAGTGTGATTTGTGTGGTCGGAAGTTTCTTCAAAGACAGACTTTGAACTATCACATGGCCTCTAATCATTCTGTGCCTTTCCCTGGTGATCATTGATGAGAAACTAGCATTTTTATGATGGAAGGGTAAAGTGGGCTTTGGTAGAGGTAATGGCAAGCAGTAGTCTGAAGCTACATTTGATAAAATGTTACTATAGGCCTATTATAATCACAGTTGGATATCCCTTTGACTGTTCTGCACATAAGGAAATAAATTATCCTTTCCATCTATTAATACATTTGCCATTCTGTCAACACCATGTTTCAAGTGAGGAACTGAGTGCCAGAAAGACAAGCTGAAATTTTCCCATTCTAACTACAGACAGCTCTTCTGAAATCATGCTTTCATATATTTCAAGCTCTTTTTTTTTTTTACTAACCCTCTTGGTGCTTTTAGTAAAGTATTTAGTAAAATACTACAATTTCAGCAAAAATACCCATGGCATTTTCAAACATCCCTTGCTGGAAAGCATGGCCACTAAGAGGGTTCAACATCAACCATTTGAACCATTTAATTGCAGGATTTGAAGTCATGGGTTCATATGCATTTCAAAATTTTCACAGTGACAAGGTATTTCTTAGTCCTTGAAGATCAGTATTTAAATGCATGGAAATTTATTTAGGAAAAAGAAGGAAAAAGATTTGAATGGGAAGGTATTTCTGTTTTAATTTTGCCTATCAATAGCAAGAGGAATCCAAAGCACAAACAAAAGGAGAGATTTTTATTTCTTCACAAACAAGAAGGGATTATGCCAACTTCTCATGTGCATGCTACCAGAGCCCTTGATTCCACTTGCTATACTTAGCTCAATGCCATCTGATGCAGAATCATTTCGTCCAGCAGTGGAAGACACACTTTGGTTCTTCATTTATAATCCCACAGAAAACACCATCTTCTTCAAGAAGTGTTTTCACTGGGGAATGCAATCTCTATGTAGGACTTACTCACACCCTTTGCTGGAGTAGCTGCAGCTTCCTTCCCACAATGTTTCTTGCCATCAGATTTTATGACAACTACACCAGCGAAGTGCTGAACCAAAAATTATGCAGCTGTATCCATCCACTCAATCCTCAGTACATATTATAAGAGAAAGTAAGAGAGGAAAAAACTCACTGCAGAAAGATTGACATGTTTCCTCATTACATCCCCTTGTCCTTTAAGAAATCATGAGGGAGTGTATATTTGTTTTTTCCTTTACTTTTAATGCTTTCAAGTCTTGTGTTTCCAAAAACATGTGTAGGCACACTGGTGCACACACAGTCACACAGCCTACACTATAAAGAATAATGCCTGGGGTTCTACATGTAGCACATAGTTTCCGACCAGCAGGACTTACTCATTATCAGGAACCTATTGCCTAAGATGCAGAGATTGCATGACACCATCTACCTTACATATCACAGTCCATGCCTTGCATATATATTGCCTTCCAAGTTCAAGACCATCAACTCAAAAAATCTAATTTTGAGATATTGCATTTTTAATTTTTTGTTCAGTATAAAAAAAACCTTGTCTTACTGGAAAAGACTCACTTTAATATATAGGTTAGTTTCAACTACATCACTGCATAAATTTCTGATTGGTTGTGTCATTACTGCAGCCATTAACCATAATTTTTAAAGAAGTGCTTTGAAAATTTTGACTTGTGATGGTCTTGAACTGGGAAGACAATATACAGACAAGACTCCATATTTCCTTCTCTCCCTGTTTATTTTCTAAGGTGCATATGGGACAAACTTTTTTCTTTTGCTCTTTCTTTTTTAACCATTCTTTCATTACTCTTATCCATTTTATTTTTTGGGCATTGTGCAATGTTGAGTCACTTCCTGCAAATATATGTTTCTGAATCATTTAATAATGCAGATGCATATATCAGAGCATCTGCCCTGCAATGCATTTCATGTTTAATTTTCTCAGCACCATTACTGTGGGCAGTAATGTGGAAAGGGATATGCATTTGATGGGCAGTTTTTGCCTCTTGGGTGGTTGTATCTACAATTGCATAATATTTGGTCCATTTTATTTTTAAATTTTGCCTGAAAGTCTGAAAACACTGACTTTTCACTTGGATGAGATTGCCAAATAATGGTTACTTATTTTCAAGCGATCTGCAATGTCTTTTAGCCATAGTTGCTGTTGGTATTTAAATTTTTTCATGCATCAATATGAACAAGACATGAGCTATCCTTTTTGATAGAGGTATTTTTGTTGATGCTCAGAGCTGTGAAGGATTTAATGACAAAGAACTTTAAAATAGGCAAATCTCATTGATTATGCCAGGCTGGCATCTCATCTAAAATCTTGAGTCTTGTATGTTGATCTATCTCAGAATCAGAAAAAGTAAGTTGATTACACATCAATATATTTCACCTGGTTTTCTAGCATCTGTATTGATACTTCATAACTGCTTTTCAATTCCATCTCAAATGAAGAATGCATGTAATTTCCCTTCTCCAGAGTTAAGATATGACTGGGGGCATGAATTCCTTACCATATCTTGAATGCATCTTGGCTCTCATTGGGTCTGGATCATAATATATGTGATATATATATTTACTCACTAATTATTAGTTCCATATTTCCCTTAATAGGTTAAGGGTTGATGCATAAGACTTCTTTAGCCTCCAGAATAAGTCTTTTCTTACATTATTTTTTTCTAAAGAAAAAGGAAAAGGACCAGAGCTGATAACTTTCAGATCAAAGTATGAATGGTTTAGTCCTTTCTGTGTCACACAGTCCTGTGTATATTTTTAGTGGGGTACATGAAACACAGGCTGATTATGAGATTGGGCTCGGTGATGGTTCATTGATTGATACATAGTCACTTCATATGTAACTTGAAAAACTATTGTTTGCCATCATTTGCCTCTTTTTGATGTAGAGTTTGGCACGGGGAAAAGGTGACATCTGGTCTGGGAAGGATATCAGCACTGGCTGCAGGATATACTTCTGTACATACCAGTACTGCACCTATAAGTCACCTCATCGCACAAATGTTGTACAACATGTGAACATTCATACAGGAGAGAAGTTATTTCAGTGCAAAGTGTGTGGGAAGAAGCTGTCAACTAATAAGAGCTTGATGAGACACTGTGCCAATCTTCATGGCGTAATTTAAATTTTCTTTGCTTGTTTCCACCAAGAGGATGACTTTTTTTCCCATCTAAGGACGCTGTCTCCTTTCAACAATGTGGGTCAAGTGATTCTATTCAGCTGAGATCCATCATTCCTTGAAAGTGTCCTTTTCTCATAGTTCTGAAGGGCAGGTCATGCTGCTCAAGTTTCAAAACATGTCCTATGAGCTAGAGATGACAAATCTGTCAATGAATGTTTTGTGTAGAGTGTAGTTGAAATTCTTTTTTATTATTTCAGTGTTGCTGTCAGCTTAAACTTTGGTCTTCTTTAATTTATTCTACTTCAGTAATAGATTAATTGCTTGCATTGGGTTGGATATGAAGTTTTAGGGAATAAATAGGCTGTCTGTCTGCACCTGGTCAATCTGGTTAAATTTTCTGCTTACTTGTGCATGTGACAAGCATGATTCCTATTCATATTTGCATAAGTCTGTTTTGTTCATTACATGAATGTGTCTGACTTGTTGGACTTACTCAACAAAGCAAGAAGCTGTTTCCTCCAGTTCCCCATAATTTGCAATTCATAGATGATTTAAAACTGGTATGATTTTTCTCAGCATACCCTTTCCACTGGTAATCCCAGATTCTTATGTGTAATCATCCATGCCAGCATGCTATTGGAATGCTCACAATAATGAAGAACAACATCCAGAGAAGGTGAAGTCTTTTGATAGGAAAATTCAGTCTAAGTCCTTGACCATGACTTCCATGTCATGGTCAAGGCTGTAAGGGGAAAACACAATCCAATCATGAAGGAGATCTGAAATTTGAGGCCTCTTACAGAGAAGAATTATGGAGAGTGGACAGGAGATTTAACTTGGCCCACCCTGAGTCCTCATGTCCTGTATATGGGTATATTGAAAGGAGACTTGCTGCTGGAATGGGAGCTTTGCAAGCTTATGTATTTAATTGGTCAAATCCATAGTCGATCACGCTTGCATTTGCTGTTTTTTTCTTAGAGTGTGAAGATGGGAAGAGGTGGCATCTGGTCTGGGAGGGACATCTATTCAGTCTAAGTCCTTGACCATGACTTCCATGTCATGGTCAAGGCTGTAAGGGGAAAACACAATCCAATCATGAAGGAGATCTGAAATTTGAGGCCTCTTACAGAGAAGAATTATGGAGAGTGGACATATTGAAAGGAGGCTTGCTGCTAGAATGGGAGCTTTGCAAGCTTATGTATTTAATTGGTCAAATCCATAGTCGATCACGCTTGCATTTGCTGTTTTTTTCTTAGAGTGTGAAGATGGGAAGAGGTGGCATCTGGTCTGGGAGGGACATCTAGAATGGGAGCTTTGCAAGCTTATGTATTTAATTGGTCAAATCCATAGTCGATCACGCTTGCATTTGCTGTTTTTTTCTTAGAGTGTGAAGATGGGAAGAGGTGGCATCTGGTCTGGGAGGGACATCTTGACTGGCTGCAAGGTTTACATCTGTATCTACTGCCCTTACAGGTCACCTCACTACACCAATATCGCATACCATGTACGAACCCACACAGGAGAAAAGCCGTTTGAATGCAAAACCTGTGGGAAAAGGTTCATTCAAAGTAGGGGATTGAAGCATCATATTGCCTTGCATCATGTGGATAATTCCTGCTGAATCTTGTTGATGCCAAAGTTCAAACAAATAGATTCATACTATGGTTAAATCTTCCTGATGCTTCTACATCTTGATAATTTATTTCTGCCTATTGAGGTCTTGACAGCAGAAAGATGTATCAATGGAAAATGTTTTACAATGTGCTATGTGTGTGACTTTCACTTTCATTTGTGCAATTTAAGAAATTCTAAATTCTTGGTAAAGTTTAGTGAATGCTTTTGAGACATACCTGTCCAGAAATTTCCCAGCATGAACCACAGTGAATTCTTTTTGGTAACAGTCATTTAGAATAATTCATTCTCATCTTGTAAAAATCATATCTGTAAAAATAAAAAATCATACCTGGCCTGTTCTCCAATGACACCTAATGCTGCACACCCCTTTTCTTGCAATTTATCCAAAGTTATGAGATGGAACAAGATAGGCTTTAAAGTGTCCTGTCCTGCTAGTAGCTTTATTTACTTTTTATCTTCTGGAGTCCATGCATGGCAGGATGATGGCAAAAAAAACCTTACAGGAAATTCTTCTATTGTAAGGCTATTTACTGGATGTTCAAATTTAAGAAGCATCGCATTGCCAGTATGCACATTGTTTAATGAGAAAGAGTTCTGTACTTCACAACTGAAACCTTTTGAATGAAGTACATTATTTTCTCCATGGTGTGTTTCTTTTGCCACAAACACGACTCAGCAAAAACTATAAATTTCTCACATCGTATTGGGATATTCACTACGAGACAAACTTAGGATCTCTCTCACTCCTAGTCATCAAGGACTACTGTCCCATGAGATGTGAGAGGTTGGTTCTGGCAAGAGAGAAAGAGCCTGTTTCAAGCCTCGTTCATTTCGTACCTCCAGTTCCTCCAAACACGAAATGATCAGCCCCTTTTTTTGTCACAGAGGAGTTCAGATTTTTGGAAAACCACCTATATAATGGTGTTTTCAGCGCACTGCCCAGATTTTTGCGTTCATACTTATATCTTTAGCCAGATTGGCTGAAGATATAAGGTAACCAAATGCTGCAGAAAAAAAAGTTTGAGAAATATTTGAGAAATCAGCCAAAATGAATTTAAAAATTTTATTCAATTTTCACAAGGCGAAAATTGAGAGCCATTTTCATTCATTAGAGTTTGAGAAGAGGACACGATGGGATCTGGTGCGGGCAAGAGATGAGGACCGGCCTGAAGCTGTTTTTGTGCCCCTTCTGCGCCTACAAATCGCCACACCGGACGAATACCGTGCATCATGTTTTCTGTCACACAGGCGAAAAACCATTTCAGTGTGACTCTTGTGGGCAGAGTTTTCGGAAGAGCCATCATTTGAAACGCCACAAATTCACTCACCATGGGAGATTTGAGTGAAAAAATGGGACAATATCTAAGTTACCAATATTTTCCATTCGAGTGTCAAATCTGTTGTGGTATGGAGTTATTTATTGAATGCATCATGTCTCTTGCTTCTGTTTGTGATATGTTATTTAAAATGACAGTGAGAGAATGCCTATTTTTAAGTACTCTTTTACCGCCAAGCCAAATTAATTCATTGCCTCACAAGTCTCATCGAGCTTTTCAGTTGCTCCTTTCTTGCTGAAGCATAATGCATGTTAAAGCACGATCTCGGAGTGAAGCAGCTGATGGAACAAAGATGCGCTTTTTTTGCGCATGTGAATTCCAAAAGTGCCAAATGAACTACAAGACCATGCCAAAGATGATTCCTTTTATGTGGGAAGGAGTTTTATTAGGGTTGAAGTTTAAAGTATATATTTTCTCGATGGGCAAAAAAAATTTTGTTTGCTGCAGAGAGTATGACTTGTTTCAGGCTTCTCATGATTTTCTATCCTCGGAAACTGTCGTACGTTTTGGCTGCTTGACGCCCGCTACATCCTTTGGCTTATTGTTGAATTGTTGCTTTCTTCTTTCATGTATCTGGCTTATGTCATGAAAGAACTAAACACCCAATGACCCCAGAAAGTTCTGAGTGAAGTTATTCATATTTAATCACCTAAGATGTCCTGGTCTTGAAACTCTGACCGACACGCGTCATGTTTCAAACGAACTCCATATTCCCCGGAAAATTACATTTCCCATGTAAAACATGCAGCATGACGTTTTTCACCTGCCCTTGTATGTTTCCAGAGCGTCCGACGCGTGTCTCGCGTGATCTGGCGAGGAGAGGTGAGTCCCTCCGGCATTTGCCTCCACTTCTGCGGGGTCTGCACATACCGAAACCTGAGTAAGACCCAGAGCGAGATCCACGCCCGGACCCACACGGGGGAAAAGCCCTTCCAATGCGGGCTGTGCGGGAAGGCCTTCTCGCAGAAGGGGAACGCCCGCACTCACGTCATCTCGGTGCACAAGGTCCCCGTGCAGGATAACGTCAAAGTGACCGGGAATCGCGCGTCGTGAGGTTTCGCGGGTGGTGTGAAAGAGCTTCGACCGTACCTTAGCAGGCGCATAGGTTCTAGAAAAACACTTTTATAAGACCAGTAATTTAAATACCTCCAAGACGTTAGAACTCAGCTATAAGAAGTAAAAAGAAAAAAAAACACATTTAAAAAAAACGGAATGTGGGGTTCGGTATCAGTCACGACATTGAGTGGAATCCCCTCAAGAATTTCAAAAATTTTCGGCCCTATCGTTTGTCAAGCGATAGCATATGAAATATGCGAGGCCATCGCAAAATTGCCACGATCGTTTTTTTCTCTGATCCAGCTGATTGCTAGACTTCACACTGACTACGGTGCGTGTAGCACCTGACAAAGGTAAAAAAAAGAAATAACGTAACCTGATGGTAACTTTTGTCCTTTGGTTTTGGATGTCGCAGAACAGCGTCGTATATCGCCGAACTACACGATGTTTCAAAGAATAAAACTGCTAAGTCATTTTTGCTAATAAAGTACATTTTATCGGGTCGACTCAATTTCTTAAAAACTGCATGTGGATAGAGGAAAGAAGAGATTTACAGGCTTCCCTCGGTTTACACGGTTCGCACTTCCATGCTTTTTTTTATTTGATACTAAAAAATTCGGAAAGCACTTGGTGTGGTTTGAGTTTATCGAATTTTTGGTTTAAAAAAAAGCGTGCAAGCGCGAATCCGTGTAAAAAGAACCCGTGTAAAGCGAGGAAAGCCTGTACCTCATTTGAAGAAATGAAATACATATTGTATCACGTTCTATGCTAGTTCAAACTCAACAAGTGAAAAAGGTCTGCCACACGAAACGAACGCCCGAACGGAACGCCAAACTTTCGTCTTCGGCACGGAACGCGCCGAACGTTAAAGGCGTTCCGTGCCGAAGAGGCAGAGAGCGTGGTGCTATCCCTTCGACGCCTGTTAACGAACATTTTTGGCCAATTTTAAGGAAGTTCAAACCTGGCGTATGAGCATTTAAGCAGTTTTATTTTAAACGGTGCCGGTTTTATCATGTTTCATCATTTATCATAGCTTCATCTGGTAAACCCAATTTATTCTGCCTTCTAAAAGTCTTGCAACACTTTCGCGATCGAAATTCTCATCATCTGGGAACATTTTCATAGGTTAACCTCTGCTGAAAAATCTTTAATTCCTACTTTTCACAATCAGTGAAATATGAAAATAGCACGATGAAATAAAAATATGAAAATTGGGTCACATCGTATCATAGATGTTTTCACAATGATCGTTCTTTCAATGATCGGCAGAACTTAACCGGATTTATTAATATAATGCATTTATATTAATAAATAAAGATTTGAAATAAAGTTGCATTAATGCTGATAATGCTGTTCAAAAATCCACTCTTAGCTACGAAAACCTTTTTTTTTTCAGACTTGAATTATCTTGACCGTTTTACTTAAATTGCTGCATTTCGGTTACGATTAATCGGCGTCGCGCTCACCGACTGCATCCAGTCGTCCTCGCGACCGTCTGCCGGCGTTTTCCCTTTCTCGTGAGTGTCGAGTCGGAGTGGAACGCCGATATTTCGTAAAAAAAAAGGTTTTTTTTACATTTTTTCAGTCTGAAAAATTAGTGAAAAAATAAGTCTTTAGTTACAAAATGCTTTTTTAAAATTCCGTTACAGGTCAATTTCGTTACAACGAACTTCTAGGGGATGTCCAGATTATTTTGTCGTACTGAAATTTCGTTGTATTTAATATCGCGCAGAATGAGTTCTAAGGAAACATTATTTATTCAAATTAGCTATGCCTCGCAACGTACAGAACAAATATAATTATTTCACTTTATTTTGTTTGGAGAAAATCTGTAATAATGGATTGCACAAAAGTTTGTGTTGTGTCAATGTCACCGTAGAGCACGGATTTTCTCCTATTTTGGCACGATCCTTCAAGAACGTGGATAACGTAGAGGGAGTAATGCCGAATTCTTTTGCCACGTCTTTTTTTTTCCTGTCGGAATCTACTGCTTCCACAACTTCCATTTTTTCTTCTGACGAAAACGGCGTTTCTTGTTTTTTGTTAGTTTTGTTGCCTGTGCACAGATACACTGTGTTGTAAGTGATGAGGCCACGACTACTGAACGTTCCTCCTTGCACTAACACTTTTTATGCCACAAGCGTGGGAAACAAAATTCTGACTCTCTCAAGGTCCAACGGGAAGGGAACAACCATATTCTTAGTTGTAGCGAGTGACTATTATATGTACAAGGACTGGGGAAAAGTGTTCATTGTACTGAATTGTACTTCGTAGTAACGAATTTCGTTGTAACGAGATCTACTAAGTACAATTACCACGGGCCATCGGTCGGGGCTTCGTTATTGTGAGGTTTTCGTTGTAACGGCATTTGACTTATAACTACTTATGACTATCCTTAAAAGAATCACCTAAAATGCGCATTGAAAAGTGTGCCCATTTTTGGGCCACCCTGTATATCCTCAGACAGCTTAATCTGTTACTTTTGCAAAGCGCCCGTTCGTGTCATGATTCTTGTCATCGTTTGTCCAAAGTTCACCTCAGAATCTGTCTGGTTCGGTTTTTCAGTATGGAACAATAAAAATTCGTCCCAACAGATTGTTGGAAAGCCTATTTCTCTTCTTGCCAGTTGTTTCATAATACAAAATCTCGGTATCTATGGCATCAAGAGTAAAAAAAAGTTACTTGGGGTAACTTCTCTTCCTGTATCTGCGCAAAGCGGCCATTACCATGTGTTTCAGCTACCTTTTCAATTGAATCAATTGAAATGAATTTGTTTAAATGAATTTTTATGTAAACAATCTCGTTCGGAATTTCCGCCTGAAAAAATGACAGAAACCCGTTCCCATTCCTGGCAAGCCCGAGGAGTTAAGTGTAATTGTCAGAACTCTGGAGAATTGTTTACCTTCATTTCGACGCTGCCTGGTCATTTTGGACCATTTCTTGCTAGAAGGACTATTAATCGTAACCTGCAAACCGTAACCGTAACAGTAACTGTAACAGTAACCGAGATTTTGTATCATTAAAAACCTGGCAAGAGGTCTAGAGGACACTGATATGAGTGAAGTAGAGGACGGATTTTGTCGTTCCACGCTGAAAGATAGAACCAGACAGACTCTGGGAAATTTTAGGCAAACAAGGTGTGTGAGTGTGTACTTTACAAAGGTAACAGATTAAACTGTCTGATATGGACGTTTTCGCAGATGATGCTATAGGCGCCGAGACTTTCGATCGCAAAAAACAGTTGGGGATGTTAAACACCCAATGTGGATAGATGGTATGATTTTTCTGCTGTATTTGAAGCAAATCCACGCAATTCATGAATGACTCTCACGTTCTCTGACGCAAGCATACAGCCACTGTCCTTCCCCCTAAGTGTGAGACGGTTAACGTGTTATGATAACGTGGTCAATTTTATTCAAAATTGTCAAATGGCATCCATCTTCTCCATTCCAATCCGTTCTCCGTCTTTCTCTTTATTTTCACAAACGACCCCAGTTCATCCAGACGTTCATCCAGCATGCCAATTCTTTTCCTTCCTCTAGGTGTATTTTCCCTTCCATTCTTCCATCACTTCCTTCAACAATCCTTCTCCGCGTAGAATGTGTCCGATCCAGTTCTTCTTTCTTCTCGCAATCATTTTCACTAGTCCTCTTTTTCCCCCAACAACTTCCATTACTTCATCATTTGTTCTTCATCTTATTCTCTCCATCCTTCTCCACACCCACATTTCAAAAGCATTTTACCTTCTGATGCCTCAAAGTCCATGCTTCGGACCCATATAAAGCCACACTCCACACCACTGCCTTCACTATCTTTTTCTTTACCTCTTGGTTCATCCTCTTTGTTAATAACTCCTTTCTCTCGCTAAAAGCATCCTTTGCCATTCCTATTCTTGTTCTGATCTCCACCTCACACTTGCCATCATCTGTGATCAAATGGCATTATCTACATGCAATTTATGAAA